TCAAGCGTCGGTCTCAAGTCAGTGCCTGGGAAAATGCTCGAACGCTGTTTCATCAGACCTCGCCTTTCCTCGTGCTGGCAGTATCCAAGAAGTGGAAGGAAGAAGGTGCTGGTGGGGGGCCTCACCTGCAGGAGGAGCCCCTCGGCCCTGCCCCCCACCTCCGCCCCACCGTGTGGGTGTCCTGGCCCAGCTCTGTCTGTCTCCAGAGCTGAAGGAGGCAGTTTCAGGGAGGCTGTCTCCAACCTTATTCCTGTTACTGGCTTTGGACCCTGTGGGGAAAAGGCCATGTGTCCATGGCTCGGGCCCCACTTCCTTTTTGGAACGTGGGTGCATATGTACGTGTGCGGGTCTATGTATGTGGCTGCTGCCACGGGTGTGGGTGTCTGTGCTCGGCTCGCACACACCTGCATGCCGTGTGTACTTGAACGTATCTGTGTGTGTGCCCATGTGTGTGGCTCTTCCCGTGGCCGTATGCACGTGTGTGTGCTAGGCCGGGCCCCCTTTTCCCTACAGGAGGGCAGCACAGCCTCTCTGACCTCTTCTCGCACACACCCGGGCCGGGCCCCCAAGCCTCGGAATGCCCATTTGCGCCAGGGCTCCCGGAAGCCCCGTTCCAGAGTTCCTTCTTGTCCCCAGGAGTCATGTGGCCCGGGGTCTGGTGTGGAGAACACGTCACCAGGCATGGGCTTGGTTGTTCTTTCCACCCACTCAAGTAGCATGCCTTGACCGAATATTGGTTACTTGCCTGGTTTGAGACTACGCTGTCTGGGGAGGCATGAGTCGTGGGCCCAGGCCAAGCCAGAAGTGGAGGGGTGCATGCTGGGGCGGCCGGAAACGGGTACTGTGATTTGCCAGAGGGCAGGGGTGCTGAGGCCCTTGAGGACAGCTCTGGGACAGCTCACCCTGTGTCATTCAGCCTCCGCTCTGATGCTCCTGGCCGCTTGGAGTGTCATCTAACTCTGTCTTTCCAAACTCAGCTCAAGGGTCATCCCCGCGGAGGGCTGGCTCTTCCTTAGGAAATTCTGAGCGCCTGGCAGGGTGCACCTGAGGGGTGTAGTTTGACGGTTAGGGAGCCAGCTTTGCTCGCTGTATTTCAGTTCCCTTATCTGTAAAGTGGGGTTTTATTATGAGCCCCTGGCAGTTAGGGTGGTCTTGAGAATGACACAAGTCAATCCGTTTAAGGGGCTTAGCCCAGCACCTGCACATAGTAGGTGCTCAGGACATGTTAGCGGGTGGTCGGTGAAGGTTTTCAGGCGTGCGGGTGTGTAGGTATGCGTCTCCACTGGGCTGGATGCTCATGAGGGCAGGGCCCGTGGTCTGCTCTGCCCTCTGTGCCCGGGGTCTGGCACACATGGGCACTCGTTCCACAAGGCCGGGTGAAGGACGAACAGCCCGCCCCCAGTGCCTAGCTCTCTCGGCCGTCTAGGGGTGGGTGAGAGCTGGGCAGAGCCGGGCTTACTATCCGGGCTTCCTTAGGTCCTGAGTGGGGCTTCCGTTTGGATCTGCCACCAGCCGCTCAGCTTGGGGTTGGGGGGTGGGGAGAGCATGGGGGGCCCTGAGTCCCGGGAGACTTCCCACCACACGGTCACATCTCACAAACAGCAGGACTGGTGGCTGCCCACCCCACCCTCACCGCTACCCCATCCCTTCCATCTACCCTCCCCATCCAGCCTCCCCTGCCTGTGTTTTTCAGTTTGTTTTCTAAACAAACGGCATTTCTGTCTCTCCCCCTCCTTCCTTCTTATTTATTTTTTAAATATATATTTTTTTTATTTGAGAGAGAACATGAGCAGGGGAGACAGGCAGAGGGAGGGAGGCGGGGAGGGGGGAGAGAGAGAGAGAAAGAATCTTAAGCAGGTTTCATGCTCAGCGCATAGCCTGATGGGGGGGGGGGGGGGGCTCAGTCCCACCAACCTGGAACATGACCTGAGCTGAAATCAAGAGTCGGATGCTTAATCGACAGAACCACCCAGGCACCCCTTCCTTCCTTCCTTCCTTCCTTCCTTCCTTCCTTCCTTCCTTCCTTCTTTCTTTCTTTCAAACTTTTAAATTGTGGTTAAAAATATACGGGGGGGGGGAGGGGGCACCTTGCCTCAGTTGGTTAAGCACCCAACTTCAGCTCAGGTCATGATCTCACGGCCTGTGGGTTCAAGCCCCGCATCGGACTCCGTGCTGATGGCTCAGATCCAGGAGCCTGCTTCAGATTTTGTGTCTCCTCCCCTCCCCTCGACCACCTCTCAAAGATAAGTGTAAAAACAAAACAAAACAGAACACTGCAAATATACAGTCGTCCCTCCTCATCCGAGGTTTTGCTTTCTGTGGTTTTAGTTGCCTCTGGTCAACCGCAATCTGGAAGCAGGCGATCCTCTCCCTGACCTCTCATTGGAAGGTCAATACTACCTAACACTGTGTCACAGCGCCGACACCGTGCGCCTCACCTCATCTCACCACGCAGGCATTTTATCTCCCATCGGCACAAGGAAGGGCAAATGCGGCGCAGCGTGACATTTTGAGAGAGACCAAATTCACATAGCTTTAATTACAGCCTCAATTAGTTGTTGGGGCGCCTGGGCGGCTCAGTCAGTTAGGCGTGCGACTCTTGATTTTGTTGTGATCTCACAGTTCATGAGTTCGAGCCCCACGTCGGGCTTTGCGATCACGGTGTGGAGCCTGCTTGGGATTCACTCTCTCTCTCTCTCTCTCTAAAATAAATAAATAGACTTAAAAAATAATTACAGTGTTTATTAGTTGTTGTTAATCTCTTACTGTGCCTAACTTGTTTTCTTCCTTCCTTCCATCCTTCCTTCCTTCCTTCCTTCCTTCCTTCCTTCCTTCCTAGGCACTATATCCAGCATGGTGCCCAACACAGGGCCTGAAACGACCCTGAGATCAAGACCCGAGCTGAGGTCAAGAGTCGGACGCTTAACCAACTGAGCCACCCAGGCGCTCCTACTATGCCTAATTTGTAATTTAAGTGTTTATCATAGGTATGTTTGTATAGGAAAAAATACTATATATAGGGGTTTGTATTATCCACAATTTCAGGCACCCACTGGGGGTCTTGGAATGTATCCCCTGCAGAGACATTATACATTCATGTGTAACATAAAATGTATCATCTTTACTATTTAAAAAAAATTTTTTTTAACGTTTATTTATTTTTGAGACAGAGAGAGACAGAGCATGAACGAGGGAGGGTCAGAAAGAGGGAGACACAGAATCTGAAACAGGCTCCAGGCTCTGAGCTGTCAGCACAGAGCCCGACGCAGGGCTCGAACTCATGGACCGCGAGATCATGACCTGAGCCGAAGTCGGCCACTTAACTGACTGAGCCACCCAGGCGCCCCTCATCTTTACTATTTTTTTCTTAAATTTTTTTTAACGTTTATTTATTTTTGAGACAGAGGGAGACAGAGCATGAACGGGGGAGGGGCAGAGAGAGAAGGAGACACAGAATCGGAAACAGGCTCCAGGCTCTGAGCCATCAGCCCAGAGCCCGACGCGGGGCTCGAACTCCCGGACCGCGAGATCGTGACCTGGCTGAAGTCGGACGCTTAACCGACTGCGCCACCCAGGCGCCCCTTATCTTTACTATTTTTAAGTGTACGGTAATGTTGAGCATATTCAAGGTCTCCAGAACTTTCCCATCTTGCAAGGCTGAAAGTCTGTACCCATTAAACAACCACTCCCCATTTTCTCTTCCCCCAGGCCCTGGCAGCCACCATTCTTTCTGTCTCTGAACCTGACTGTATACTTCATAAGCGGAATCATACCATATTTTCCCTGCGCTGAATGGCTTATTTTGCTTAGCGTAATGTCCTCAAGTCAAACTGTATCTCTCAACTGAGAATCTGTTGCTCTACCCAAGCAGGGCGATTATTATTACGATTATTTTACAAAGCACTCATCCGAAGCGGCCAGCTCATTGCATTTTTACACACATTAATACTGTGTCCGGGCACCAGGGGCAACTGTCTGTTCTCCCTGTGATTCTGACTCCTGTCTTTTGAGAAATGCTGGATTCTAGGCATGGCAGGATGCGGAGAGGCACTTGTGGACGGTGGCTGGTGACCTTGCCTCGTCTCTGTTGCTTCTTTTCACTGGGCACTGGCTGGGGAGGTCCCCAAATCCCTCACCTCCAGGATTTAAATCCAGGTGGGACCCTTGGCGACCAAGCTCTGAGAATGGGCTTCTTCAGAGGCCAAGGAGCAGAGAGGAGGAGGGAGATGGGTAAGGAGCCTTGGTTTCTGGATCTGTGAAATGGGGATAAATGCCAGTCTTGCAAGGCTGTTGTGGGGGATGACAGGGGTAGTGTCCCTGCGAGGGTCCAGGTATGCAAAGATCCCCCTTTCCACATGGCAGGCTTCTCTGGGGTGCTGGTTACACCGGGCGTTCAGCGTGTAAACTTTTCCTGATCCCTACGCTTGTGATTGTCCGCTTATAAAAATTAGTGCCCTTTCCCTCCTCCCACAGATAGACTGTGGTGCCTCAGGGTCTCAGGCAGCTTTCCCCATGTCTGCGCACAGGGCGGGGGCAGGACCGGGTCTCCACATATTGGAGGATGAGGTCCACGCCAGGGCGCCCACCTCAGCACCCTTCTGTGGTGTTCCTCTGCCCCCTGGTGGTGGGAGGGGACCTCAGAAGAGGCACACTCCCAAGTGGGACCCTCCCTCCCTGCAGGGCGCTTTGTGCCTGGATTCTTGCCTTCTTGCCCACTTCAGCCAGGCTGGGAAGGGTTGACTAGGGTCCAGAAGGCTCGGCCTGGGCTGGGGGTGGGGAACACACATAGGGGTGGGTAGGGCTGGGGGTGGGGAACACAGGTGTGGGTAGGGCAGCAGGTGGAGTTGGTTGGGGCAAGGCTGCAGGTGGGGGCTGGAGACGCTGCTATTTAAGCGTGGGAGTGGGGGTGGGAGTGGCTGGCTTGTCCCTGCCTGGGAGTCGTGCTCCCACTTGCTGCAGGGCTCGCGGTGGGGGGGGGGGGGGGGCACCAGAGCATGAATATGGGAGGCCTCTGGCCTTGGGTGCTGGGTCTGGTCTCTTTGCCAGGTAAGTGGGCTGCTAGCCTGCAGAGTGCTGAGTAGAGGCAAGAAGGGTGTGGCTGGAGCCTGCAGGGATCTGAACGGCGCAGAAAATGGGCTCTCCAGGGATGTTCCCAGAAATCAGTTCCTAGGGGGCACCAAGGGGAGGCATCCTGAAGATCCTGAAAGCAGAGGGCCTGCCTGGCAGGAGGTAGCAGGTGTAGCCCTCAGGCATCCTTGTTTTGCTGGTCATGCCAGGCTTGCTCGATCTGAGTCTGATTTCCAGAGGCCTGGGCTGAGAAGGGAGGCATGGGGCCGGGGCAGCTAGCCCGGGCTCACCCTCACTGTTAGAGCCTGAGGTCTGGTCCCGCCTCTCTTTTGCTTCCTCCCCTATCTCATATACACAGCTATTCAGAGCCTGGGGCTGCTTTTTGGAACCCAGTGTTGGTCCCCTTAAAGAAGCTCCTTCCTCCAAGTTGTCTAGGCCTTGCCATCAGCTTGCACTGAGGGGAGGCCAGGCAGTCTCCCAGGACTACTTTCTGGGGGTCTGCCTTCGCGAAGGGCCTGGCTGTTGTGGTCTGATACTACCCAGCCCCCACCCCCCAGGCCCTGTTGTCCTCTCTCGCCAATGAGGGCACTTCGGGCATCATGGGTACGTGCCCGTCTGGGCCAGGTTTGATCCTAGGAGCACCCTCAGCCTCCAGCTGCTCAGAAGCCTGTGGAACCAGCTTCTCGGAGGGCCTCAACCCCGAGGGGACCCAGACATCCTGGGACAAGGACATCCCTGCGATTAACCAAGGTGAGGGCGCTGTGTCTTCTTGTGGGGTGGAGGGGCTACGAAATTGTCCACGTAGTGTGGTGAAAACCACGCAGAACACGCGGATGAGCAGAAGGAGCTGGAACTGTGCCAGCTTACTGGGCTCTGGGTGAATAGCAGTTCCTCGGTCTATGGGCAACTCTTGAAAAGTCTATATTTCTGTATCTTTTCCATGAGATTGTTGCTTTCATAAGAAGGGAGGAAAGCCTACGTTTTTAAAAATGGCCTGATTAAAACGTGGGTCTTCAGATGCTCCGGCTGGTGTTAAACTAAGTCATCAGCGGATGTTCGAAAAGATGTCAGCCACCTGGTGCAGGATAGGCTGCAGGTGTGAGGGTATGAGCTGGGCTATAGACACAAAGAGGCATGAGGCCCATGGCCTTCTTGTCTGGGGAATCCCTGCTGAAGAAAGGGAACATCTAGGGGCGCCTGGGTGGCTCAGTTGGTTAAGCATCCGACTTCAGCTCAGGTCATGATCTCGTGGTTCGTGAGTTCGAGCCCCGTGTCAGCACGGAGCCTGCCTTAGGTTCTGTGTCTCCCTCTTTCTCTGACTGTCCCCCACTTGCACTCTGTATGTGTGTGTGTCTCTCTCAAAAACAAATGAACATTTAAAAAAAAAAAATTAAAGGGGCGCTTGGGTGGCGCAGCTGGTTAAGCGTCCGACTTCAGCCAGGTCACGATCTCACGGTCCGTGAGTTCGAGCCCCGCGTCAGGCTCTGGGCTGATGGCTCGGAGCCTGGAGCCTGTTTCCGATTCTGTGTCTCCCTCTCTCTCTGCCCCTCCCCCGTTCATGCTCTGTCTCTCTCTGTCCCAAAAATAAATAAACGTTGAAAAAAAAATTAAAAAAATTAAAGAGAATGTATAGATAACCTGGAATGAAGCTGCGGGGGTGGGGGGAATACTGGAATTCGGGTGTTGGAGCCGAAGTGTCGGGGGGACGGGGGGGGGGACTTTGGAGGGATGGGGATCTCCCGAATGTGGCCGCTACCCTGTGGTCTGAACCGACTTGGAGCCCCGGAGCTACGGAGCCTCAGGGCAGTGCGTGACCTTTTGGTAACTGTGACTGGTCTGGAGGTAGCCAGAACCCATCTGAGGCTTCCCTGGCATTGATTTTGAGCTGCCATGGATGCTCTCAGCTCGGGCTGCTGGAGCCCAACTGCTATCCGAGAGGCCCTTTACCGGGAAGCACACCCCAGCCCCAGCTGCCGGGAATGTGGGCCGCTAAGGCCTCGCAGCTGAAGGCCCTCTGCCAGGGATGCTTGGGAAGCCACTCCCTCCCCTGCCCAAGGTGGCCCGCCGTGACTCCTGTGGGCCACGGGTCAGTCCCCTGCCTCAAAGTGGAACAAGTCTGTGGTGCCATTTGGGGTCCAGAGCTCCTGTGGGATCAGACTGGGGCTGCACCCCGGCGGAGTCGGGGTGTTCCCCAGCACCCCTCAGTAAATCGCTTGCAGGTGCCTCCCCAGCCCAGGCTCTGCTTCTAGGGAACCCGACGTAAGGTACCGCCAGGGTGCCAGACTCTCCTCTAAGACTCCTCACGGGGCGGTGGCAGAAACGGAGGCTGGAGACAGAAGCAGAGACTAGCTGAGATGGGGGGGGGCGGGGGGAGCCAGACTCAACCGGATCCAGACTTCCCTCCCTTCTGTGGTGACGTGAGCTGGAATTTCACTTGTCCCCGCAAGGGTCCTGAATATCCTACCAATCGGCGGGCATTAGAGGGGGGACGAGGTAGGACAGGGGGGCCCAGGGCATGTTCCTAGAGTATGGCCTGTGCTGGAGAGGGGGGTGAAGGAGACAGCTGGAGAAAAAGTCTGCTTCTGATTAGCAGAGAGGTTCAAACGCAGAGGGAAGCGTGTGGGTGGCAGGCGCTCTGGGCCGTGTTTGAGCAAGGGAGAGATGTGACTGGGCTGAGGGGCCATATATATTATGTAGAGGGGAGACTCAGAGGGGCTGTGTGACTAGCCTGAGGCCACACAGCCTCAGGGGCCCAGGGAACCTCCAGCTTCAGAGTCAGGAAGGACAGACTTTGGGGTTGCTTCTGGGGCCTGTCCTTAGAGTCTGGATTCTGGGGGGGGGCATGGGCTCACACACTCCTTCCCTTCCTTCCCAGGGCTCATCCCAGAGGAAACCCCAGAGAGCAGCTTCCTCCTCGAGGGGGACATCCTCCGGCCGGTGAGCAAGCATACACATCTGTGTAAATAACTTCACGATGCTGTCGGAGGCCTTTGAGCCCAGCCTCTGGTGTCATGGGGTGTGACGTGTGAAGGACCTGTCTCTGTCGCTCGTAGCTTGATAGACCCCCCCCCGCCCCCCTTCTTGCTAAAGTCACAGTGAATGTTCCACAATTAGCCAGACTGAAGGGAAAAGGAGGGAGGGTAACTTCTACGGTGGTAACAGCAATCAGCCTTGGAGGGCTTCCTGAAGGAGGGCATTTGAGTCCTCAAGATCCAGCTTGGTACTGTGCCCAGGGGAGGTGCTCAGAAAGTACTGGAATGAAGGAAGAGATGAGCACAGATCGGCAGAGGGGCTGGTGGGGCTGTAGGGCGGTGGTGGTCGTGCACACCGGGGTGGTGGCCACGGTTTGGGGAGGTAAGGCAGGGACCCCATCCCCGTGGGAGGTGAGGGGTGGAGTCAGAAGGCTGGGTGGGAACTGGGGTGACTTTGCCAGAAGACTGGGAACAGGTGGGAACAGGGAGCAGGTGGGGTGGGAACAGGGAGCCGAGAATGCACGGTGTTCAGGGGAACAGAGCCATGTTTTAGGAGACTGGGAGGCAGAGGTGCCCAGACCAGAACCGCGACCTGGTGACAGCAAGACCCTTCTGGGGTTTGGTGACCGCCCACTGAGGGCACAGCGTGAGGCTGGGCTGCAGAGTCAAAGGCTGGGGCTGGGCGGGAGCCCTGGGGGTGGGGTGAGGCCCCTGTTTCCGGTTATTCAGTGAGGCTGGGGTAAGAGCGGAATCCAGCGAAGCCTGTGGTAGCCAGTGGGGCAGGACCTGCTGGGCTTCCGTGAAGCCCGCGCCTCCCAACGGTTTTGGTTGCTGGAAGAGTGGAAAGAGGAGCTGCTGAGGCCAGGGGTGTTGCCTTAGCCTGAGCCCTAACATTCAGGGACGTTCGGCTGACCGCTGTGTTTCTGGAAGCATGGGGCTGCTGGTGGGCCCTTGAGCTCTTTGGAACTAGGCCCCCCCTGGGGAGCTGGGACGCCTCGTCAGCCTCGTTGGGAACAAGTGGTTTTGTTTTTCTGTTGGATACAATCGGTAACAAGTTCTGTTGTGTGGAACAAAGGGTGGTGGTGGTCACCACGGCTCACCCAGCAGGCCCCCACATCTCCCACCGCTCTGTCCTGTTTCTGATGTCCTCCTCACCCTCCTGGACCTGTGTCCTGCTTCTCACATCTTTAGGGTTCTTATGGCCTGAGATTTGGCACCATTGGGGGCAAGACGCCAGGCTAGTCCTATCCCAGGCGTCTAGTCCTATCCCAGGGGTCTAGTCCTATCCCAGGGGTCTAGTCCTACCCCAGGACTCCCCAGGGGTCCCTGAAGTGCCCTCTCTCTTCAGAGTCCCTTGCGGCTGTTCTCAACTACCAGCAACAAGTGGCCCAAGAATGGGGAGGTCGTGGAGGTCCCCTTCCTGATCTCCAGCAGATACGGTGAGTAAGCACGTGCTCTGGGTCCTGGGAGCCGTGGGCCTCCCTCTGGCCCCGGCCCCTTCCTCCCCGTGCAGCCTGGGCTCCTCTCTGGGTTTCTTCCCTCTGCCTCTCCTCACCGATACCACCAAAGAGCCTTTCCACAAGAAGCCCTTTTATTCCAGAGAGCCTCCTGAGCTGGGAGGGCCAAAACCTCAGAAGAGCTGATGGGGGGACAGCCAAGGACTATCTGACCCATTTCAAGACCAGTCCATGGGGCGCCTGGTTGGCGCAGTCGGTTAAGCGTCCGACTTCAGCCAGGTCACGATCTCGCGGTCCGGGAGTTCGAGCCCCACGTCAGGCTCTGGGCTGATGGCTCAGAGCCTGGAGCCTGTTTCCGATTCTGTGTCTCCCTCTCTCTCTGCCCCTCGCCCGTTCATGCTCTGTCTCTCTCTGTCCCAAAAATAAATAAACGTTGAAAAAAAAAAAATTTAAAGACCAGTCCAGAGGACGGGGACCTACCTAAGGTCACAGAGCTGGGGCCTGTCTGGGACCCAGCTTTCTCTACCTCCTCCCTGAGCCCCAGGCTACCCCCTTTTTTTTCTTAATTTTTATTTTTGAGAAAACATAAATTTATGTTTTGAGAAAACATAAATTTATGCGGGGGAGGGGCAGAGAGAGAGCGAGAGGGGGGAGACAGAATCCGAAGCAGGCTCCAGGCTCTGAGCTGTCGGCACAGAGCCCGACGCAGGGCTCGAACTTGCAAACTGAGAGATCATGACCTGAGCCGAAGTCGGACGCTTAACCGACTGAGCCACCCAGGCACCCCTACCCTTTCCTGACCTTCCATTTTGGAAGAGGGATTTGAAGCTCTGTGCTCACCCTGCAGGCAGACTCCCAACGGGTCACAGGGGCTCTGGGGTCTTGGTGGGAGGTTCAGCCGGGGTGTTGCCTCCCCAGATAAAGCCAGCCGCGACATCTTCCTAAAGGCATTTGCTGAGTTTGAACGCTTCACATGCGTCAGGTTTGTTGCCTACCAGGGCCAAAGAGACTTCATTTCCATCGTCCCCATGTCTGGGTAAGTACTCCTGGGGGGCGTGCGTATCCACGCATAAGCGCGCATGTGCAGGGGAAGTTCCTCGGCTTTCTTCTGCCTTCAGCTGGCTATAACTAGGCCATTGTCAAAAACCTTTTTGGGGCCCTATTTCCCCTGACCAAAACCCCCCCCCCCCCCCCCCCCCTTGAGTGGTTTGCCCTATGGGAGTTAGACCTACAAATACCCAAGGCAGAAGGTGGAGAAGGAGGGGAATCAGGTGCTTGATGTCCCTTGCAAAACCCTCCTCTGGGGAGACCTCACGGTCTGGTGAATGGGGACAGCTTTCATGGGACACACCTGGCCTTGGATCTGGGTTTCAGAGTGTAGGAACCACCCAACACCAGGCAAGTGCCTTATCTTGCGAGGCTCTCCTGCCTTCTCTGTGGAAGCAGGAATAACAGCAATACCCATTTCCTAGCTTGTTAGAGACCTAAGATCACGTGTGAAAACTTTGACTTGGGGACCCTGGATGGGGATGCTCGTTCAATGAGCCGCTTCCGGTATCTGTGCTCCTATTCATGTCTACATCTTCCTTGTACCTCGGGTTGGTAATGGGTTCCAGTGTACCCATTTCACGGATGCCCAAGTGGTGAAGGGACTTGGGAATTGCAAACCTGGGACTAGAATCCGGGATGGAGACTACCCGTTGACGGTCATTCATCCCAGGACATGGGAGGAGGGGGAAGGGGCCTGGGTCTGCTCTGGATCTCTGGGCTGGTGTCTACCCGGTGTCCTCTCCTGGCCCTGCAGGTGTTTCTCCAGCGTGGGACGCAGCGGAGGGATGCAGGTGGTATCCCTGGCACCTACGTGTCTCCAGAAGGGCCCAGGCATTGTCCTGCATGAGCTCATGCACGTACTAGGCTTCTGGCATGAGCACTCACGGGCTGACCGGGACCACTATATCCGTGTCAACTGGAATGAGATCCTTCCAGGTAAGCCAAATCGTGCAGAACCCACGCTGGACCTGGGGGTCTTGGGGCGAGAGGGCAGCAGGCACTGGCCAGGGCCTGAAGAGTTGCCTGCCACTTTAGAAGAGGTTATCCATCTTTCCTACCACCTGCTTGTCCACCATTGGGAAGGTGGGGCTCCTGCTTCTCTTTGAGACCTGGAGGTGGTCCAGCTACTGCTGCTCCGGGCCCTGAGCCTTCCATCCGCCCGCCCAGAGTCACGCCTGAGTTAGGGAATCACTATGTTTGTGTCTCATTTTTTTTCTTTTTTTTCTCATGAACACAACCTGGTACCTGGGGATGGAGTTGGTGGTATCCTTTGACCCTTGTTCATGGTGCACTCAACTAGCAGTCCTTCATGTGCCAGATGCTGCTGTGCGGGGCGGGGGCAGGGCTTGTGTGCCCGCTGCAGGGGCTGAGCCGAGACCGAAGGCCTGGAAGAAGTGGACTGTGTGTGCCAAGTCCCAGACGCAGGAGGCTCCGCCCTTGTGAGATGGGCACCAATGGGCCTGCGTGATAGAGGAAGCACAGGGGGGCCATGTCCTGACAGGTGGCAGGGGCAAAGCCGAGGCTGGTCTGGGAGTGGGCCACTGACTGTGTCGGATGCTGGTGAGCAGGAGCTGTGTGCTGGCCGTGGTGCTGAGTGCTGGGCATCTGACCCCTGTGATGGTGGGATCCCACCCTTGTTGGGGGGACAGCCTGATTCAGGGAACGGGAAGAGTAGAGACAATCCCTTCATGAAAGAGGGAAGCAGAGGAGATACATGATAAGGGGTTTGGTCTAGAGGAATGGGTATAAAAGGGGAAGGGTTCAAAGGCTTCCTGTAAGTGGAGAACTTGTGGCATGAGCACTTCCGGTGTTGTGGAGGGAACCAGGTGAAGTAGGCAGGGGGCTGCTGCTCAAGAGATCCGCATTCATGGAGCCCCAGAGAAAGGGTGTTCTGGGGGAGACTTGGGTAGCACCTGATAATGAGAGGAGGGATGAAGCTTGAGATCAGAGCTTAGTCTAAGGAAGGGGGTGATGATAGTGACTGTACCCTGAAAACAGAGACTATAATCCTTCCAAGGGCTCATGGAATACTTGCGAAAACTTACCATATGATAGAAAAATATCAAATTTGAAAAAGTTAATTCAAGTGTTTTGTTGGTGATGTAAAATGCAAAGTAGAAAATAACAAATCAAAACTGAAAACTTCTTATACTTGGAAGTTCAAGTCTAAAAAAACAACAATAATCCTCTCTTTTAGTTCCAAGGTTAAATTGCAGGAGTTCTTTAAAAAAAAAAATCGTAACACATTAGAACTAATCATTCACAGCTAAGGCAACGTTCAGGGAAATTGTGTAGACTGAAATTCTTATCAATACAAATAGAAAAAATTAAAAAAATAGAAAAAATTAAGCATTTAAATCCAATTTAAAAAATAAAGGAAAGCAGGAGGGAATGAAATTAAAGACAGAAGTTAATGAATTAGAAAACCAACGACACTCATAAACTCAGCAGTGGTTTTCTTAACCATAAAACAGGTTAAGACACTAGGTACTCTAGTGGGGAAAAATTGTTTAAGAATGAAGAGAAATGAGGGGTGCCTGGGTAGCTCAGTCAGTTGAGCATTCGACTCTTGATTTCAGCTCAGGTCATGATCCCAGGGTTGTAAGATTGTGCCCCATATAGGACTCCGTGCTGAGCGTGGAGCCTGGTTAAGATTCCCCTCTCGCCAACCCCCCCCCCCCCATTAATAAAAAAAAATTCTAAAGGATGAAGAAAAATAGAATACATTTGTATTAGTTGATATGTGTAGAACAAACTAAGATACATAAACTAATAACTGTAATTGGGGGTGGGGAGCTGGGAACTTGGAAGATAGAGGGGGAGGTTTATCACATAGCTCAACATTTTTTTTTTTGACTTTTATTTTTGTAATCCATTTTATTTTTTTATAATTTACATCCAAGTTAGCACATGGTGCAAAAATGATTTCAGGAGTAGATTCCTTAGTGCCCCTTACCCATTTAGCCCATCCCCCCTCCCAAAACCCCTCCAGCAACCCTCAGTTTGTTCTCCATATTTATGAGTCTCTTCTGTTTTGTCCCCCTCCCTCTTTTTATATTTTTGCTTCCCTTCCCTTATGTCCGTCTGTTTTGTATCTTAGAGTCCTCATATGAGTGAAGTATTATGATATTTGTCTTTCTCTGACTAATTTCGCTTAGCATAATACCCTCCAGTTCCATTCATGTAGCTGCAAATGTCAAGATTTCCTTCTTTGTGATTGCTGAGTAATACTCCATTGTATATATACACCACATCTTTATCCATTCATCCATCGATGGACATTTGGGTTCTTTCCATACTTTGGCTATTGTTGATAGTGCTGCTATAGACATTGGGGTGCATATGTCCCTTCGAAACAGCACACCTGTATCCCTTGGATAAATACCTAGTAGTGCAATTGCTGGGTCGTAGGGTAGCTCTTTTTAATTTTTTGAGGAATCACCATAGTGTTTTCCAAAGTGGCTTCATCAGCTTGCATTTCCACCAACAATGCAAAAGAGATCCTCTTTCTCTGCATCCTCGCCAACATCTGTTGTCACCTGAGTTGTTAATGTTAGCCATTCTCACAGGTGTGAAGTGGTATCTCATTGGGGTTTTGATTTGTATTTCCCTGATGATGAGTAATGTTGAGCATTTTTTCATGTGTCGAACATCTGGATGTCTTCTTTGGAGAAGTGTCTATTCGTATCTTTTGCCCATTTCTTCACTGGATTATCTGTTTTTTGGGGTGTTTGATAAGTTCTCTGTAGATTTTGGATACTAACCCTTTATCTGATATGTCGTTTGCAAATATGTTCTACCATTCCATTAGTTACCTTTTAGTTTTGATGATTGTTTCCTTTGCTGTGCAGAAGCTTTTTATTTTGACAAGGTCCCAATAGTTCATTTTTGTTTGTTTCCCTTGCCTCCGGAGACGTGTTGAGTAAGAAGTTGCTGCGGCCAAGGTCAAAGGGGTTTTTGCCTGCTTTCTCCTCGAGGATTTTGATGGCCTCCTGTCTTATATTGAGGTCTTTCATCCATTTTCAGTTTATTTTTGTGTATGGTGTAAGAAAGTTGTTCAGGTTCGTTCTTCTGCATGTCGTTGTCCAGTTTTTCCAGCACCACTTGCTGAAGAGACTGTCTTCATTCCATTAGATATTCTTTCCTGCTTTGTCAAAGATGAGTTGGCCATATGTTTGTGGGTGCATTTCTGGGTTCTCTCTTCTGTTCCATTGATCTGACTATCTGTTTTTGTGTCACTTTTGTTTTTTTTGACTTTTACACCAGATGAATATATTGCCAGTTCAAAACTGTTTAATATCTTAAGGGTTTTTAAAAGGAAGAGGTGAGTGTACCCTAGAGGCTGGTATGGCAGGTTGTGGAAGAGGCTGGCGGGGCCTGGGGGGTGTTGGGAGAGCAAATACCCAGGGTATGGCTGTTTTTTCAGAGGCTCACTGTGAAGGGCAGGACAGCGGCTGGGGGAGGGAATCTTGTCCCTCTCAGGCCTGGGGGACCCAACTGATGGGGGAAATGGTGCTCTAGCCAGTGGGGGAGTGTTTCACTTGAACCTGGGGGATGGGTGCTGCTAGCCTGAGGCAGGAAGAACAAGGTGATCTGCTGGGGAGTGGGAGCCCAACAGCAGGTGATGGGCGAGCGGGTCTCTAAAGCTGGGTTGAAGGGTAGGTACTCTATCTCGCGGGTAGGGGGCGTCAGAGACCCTGCGTAGCATTTGACTTAGCGGAAGCTGTTCTGTGAAGGTAGATGCATACTGGTGACCTTGACAGGGGAAAGAAGCAGAGTGAGCTCTAGGAAGCTGTGAGGTCCCTGTGCTTCCACATCAGCTAGTGCTGGTCTGGACCCATCGCGGGGAGGACAGGAGTTGGCAGTGAAAGCACCAAGGAGATGGGGACCAGGGACTGGTTGGTACTGGGAGGGGGGCACATCTGGCTGTAGTTTTAGATCTGTCAGCTCAGGTAGGGTACAAGTACCTCGAAGGCCCCTATCACCCCACCCCTCCCTTCCCTGCCTTCTTCCCTTATCACCAAGTTTTGTTGGTTTTGGCTTCTGTTTTTCCCAGGCTTTGAAATCAACTTCATCAAATCTCGGAGCAGCAACATGCTGGTGCCCTATGACTACTCATCAGTGATGCACTATGGGAGGTGAGGACCCCCTTTCCTTTTCTACGTTCCTTCCTTCTACACTGCCCAGCCAGCCCCCACTGTGATCTGGATTCAGGTCCCCACCTACTGGGTTTCAGGCTTGCCTTCAGCCGGCGTGGGCTGCCCACCATCACACCGCTCTGGGCTCCCAGTGTCCACATTGGCCAGCGATGGAACCTGAGCACCTCGGACATCATACGGGTCCTCAGGCTTTATGACTGCAGCCCAAGTGGCCAAAGTCCCCGTGGGAGAGGTGAGTGACTTGAGAAATTGGAAGGATCCTATATTGAGGTAGTGTCAGTGAGGGTGAAGTGGGGGACTGAGGCTGCAGGACAAAATCACTGGGGTTACCATAAGACATGTAAAACAAAATATGTGAAAATGATCACGTAGGATTAAGAACCCTTAGGAATAGAGGTCCCTTTCTTAACCCTAACATGAGTATCTTCCAAAAACCCAGAGCAAAAATCATTTTTAATGTTAAAGCACTAAACTTAGACCAAAACAGGTTTTTTCCCACTGTTGTCCCATCTATTCCATACTGTAGTGAAGGTCTTAGCCATTGCAGTATGGCAAGAAAAAAAATTAAAAATCTGAGTATTGGGAAGGAGGCAAAACTGTCCCTATTCACAGACGATGATTCTCTACATTGAAAGCAACCAAACCTACTAAATTATTGGAAGCAAAAGGATGTTAAAAGGTAGATGTATAGAAACAATTTTTTTTAAATGTTTATTTTTGAGACAGCGAGTGCAAGTGGGGGAGGGACAGAGAGAGAGGGAGACACAGAATCCGAAGCAGGCTCCAGGCTCTGAGCTGTCAGCCCAGAGCCTGACGTGGGGCTTGAACTCACGAACCGTGAGATCATGACCTGAGTCGAAGTTGGACGCTTACCTGACTGAGCCCCCCAGGCTCTTAAATGAGACACAAAGCAAACCATAAAACTGCAAAGATTCATAAATCCAACTACATTAGTAACTACTCTAATATACTATATGATAACTACTACTACTTCTGTAATGACATAACTACTTATCAAGACAAAGTGAAAATACAAGTTACAAATCAGAACTCTTGCAACCCATAACTAATTGTATCTAAAATACATGATATATATTACATATTAATATATAATAATATAGATAAACACATGCTGAGCCAAATACAAAGCAGGAAAAAGGGCAAGAGACCTAATGGGGGAAAAAAACCAAATGGGAAATAAACACAAGGCCATCAACCTTATTCATAATTGAGGAAATGGCAAGCGAAGACCACAATGTTACCACTTTTTTACCCCTTAAATTGGCAGAAATCTAAAAACTTGATAATACCCGATACTAATAAGAAAATGGAGTAATGTCCTGTCCATACCCTGTGGACAGGAGTATAAGTTGCTACAGCCACTTTGGTGAACAGTTTGACTTTTTTTTTTTATTATTTTTTTACTTTTTAGAGGGTTTAATTGACTTGGCCAATGTCCCATAACCAGTAAGTGGCACGTGAGCACCCCCCGAGGTAACCATGGCTCTATGCTCTCTCTAGGGTTGCCTAGTCTGGAAATTTTACGCAAATGGAATTATAGGATACGTGATCTTTTGTGACTGGCTTCTTTTACTTCATGTTTTCAAAGCTCATCCATATTGCAACCTATAGAAGCACTTCATTATTGTTAAATGATACTCCAACTTGGATGGATGAGCTACGTTTTGTCCGTTCATCAGTTGAAGGACGTTTGGGTTACTTCAACTTTCTGGCTATTATGATTCACGTTACCACGAATGTTTGTTTACAGGAACTTATGTGAACCTATGTCTTTTCCTTTGGATATATGCTTACGAGTAGATTGCTGGGTCCTAGGGTAACTCCAGATTGAATTGCTAAATTGTTTTCCGAATTGGTTGTATCATTTTTCACTCTCACAAGCAGCGTACGAAGGTTCCAACTTCTCCATGCCCTTGCCAACACTAGCTATTATCTATCCTTTTATTTCTGTCCTCGGTATGAAATGGCAGCTCATTGGCGTTTTGATTTGCACTGCATACAGATGATTGGCCATCTGTATATCTTCAAAGAAGTGGGTTTTGATCCTTTTATCTGTTTTTCATTTGAGTTATCTTTCTATTGCTGAGTTGAAAGTGTTCTTTGTGCATTCTAGATACATGTCCCTTATCAGACCTATCATTTGCAAATATTTTCTCACATTCTCTAGGTTGATGGTGTCCTTTGAATGCAAACATTTTTAATTTTGATGGGGTCCGATTTACCTGTTCTTTTACTGTGGTTTTGGTGTCCTATCTGAGTAGCCTTTGCCTAAGCCAAGTTCATGAAGATTTAATCCTAAATCTTTTGCATGTGACTTTTGCTACCCAGTTCTAGCACTATTTTTTGTTGTTGTTGTTTATTTTTTAGAGAGCATGCAGAAGTCGGTGGGGGTGGGGGAAGAGGGAGACAGAAGTAGGCTCTGTGCTGAGAATGGAGAGTCCAATGTGGGACTCAAACTCACAAATCATGACCTGAGCTGAAGTTGGATGCTTAACCAACTGAGCCACCCAGGTGCCCCTCTAGCACCATTTCTTAGACTATTCTTTCCCATACATAATATCAAATATTGCATACTTTTTGAAGTTAATAAGTATAAGATAATGTGGCAAGAGCTTTGTGGGTAACTATTGTTGAGGTTGGACTATTAGGAGAAATGAAATTGGGAAGTGGCTGGAAGGGGCTGTAGGTCTAGGGAAGGTTTACCATGATGGTAGACATTCAAGCATGCTTGGATGCTGAAATAACCCAATGGAGAAAGAGAAAGGTTGGATTCAGAGGGCAGAAGGATGCATATCTAGAACATTTGGGTAGGAGATGCCCTTGGTGGATAGGTCTCCAAGGATATGTCTGAGCTTTGTTGGTCCTAATGAGAAGGAAGACAGGTGCAGACCTAAATTTGCATGTGGGTCTTGAGGTGCAGATTCATGCACTTCTGAGGGCTTTGGTCACAGAGAATGACATGGAGTCACCAGCCTTGAGGCTGGGGAGAAGGGGATGGATGTGAAGGGAAAGGGTGTGATGATGCCGACTGGGCTGTGGGAGAAGAAACCAGCTAGAGATACCCTGCAGGGCTGTGGGTGGTGCTGGGGCAGCCAGGTGGAGGCATGGCATAGGTTGGTGACTTGGTTCTCCAGGACTGGGGTTTTGTGGGCAGGTGTGACAGAGGGGACGGTGCTTGAGGCGTAATTGCAGTGAAAGTGTGTGGAGCCCAAGTCAGATGAGGAGAACGGTCGGGAAGTGAGGAGCTTGTAAGCAGGAAGAGACCTCGGCGTCCCTGCGCTCGAGGGGCTAGATCGTTGTGATATTTAAACAAGCGAGCTGGAAATATAGGCGTGGGCTGCCAGGAACCGAGACTTCTGCAGTGGTGGTTTCTGGTACTGACCAGGTCTGATGGGGAGCAGGGAATGAACTGTGAGATCAGTGGGACCAGGGGGGAGAAAAGTCGCCGTTTGAAGCCGATCAGCTCGGATTTGGTCAGTATCTGGTTTGTTTTTTTTTTTATTTATTTTTTAACATTTATTTATTTTTGAGAGACCGAGCATGAGCAGGGGAGGGGCAGAGAGAGAGAGAGAAGGAGACACAGAATCTGAAGCAGGCTGCAGGCTCTGAGCAAGCTGTCAGCACAGAGCCTGATGCGGGGCTCGAACCCACAGACTGTGAGATCATGACCTGGGCCGAGGTCGGATGCTCAACCGACTGAGCCACCCAGGCGCCGCCCCCCCCCCCCCCCCCCCCGCCCCACCCCGGTCAGGGTCTGTTGATGGAAGGGTGGGCTCATCATGAAGCCTTCAGCGCCTGGGCAGGGGTGATGGGTGAGAGGCAGCACTGAGAGGGTGGAGGGGCCTGGCCAGATAACTTGGGCTTAAGATGAAGAGGTTTACAAAGCAGTGGGTGGCAGCAGTGGTCCAGGAGAGGCAGGGAAGAGCAAGGAGAGCCTGTCTCACTAAGGACATGGGCCCGACAGGGCTCAGTAATGTCCTCCTGATGCTCTGGGTTTGGCAGGTGGTTGCAAATGCAGGAAAAGTTCTGTAGGAGGCTTCAGACATGGGGTGGTGAGAGCAGGGTGTCCCTCAGTACAGAGGACCCCAGGAGGTGTCGGAATGGCGAGGGCTGCGGTGTTTTCCGCCCTCAGCTATCTGGTGGCTTGACCATCAGCAGCTCGGGGGTATGAGTGGGAGACCATGGAAGAGAGCCCGAGGGCCTTTGTGGTGGTGACTGAGGAGTTCTGTGGTCCTTGTCTTTAAGTGTGGGTTGAGAATTTGGGTCTTGAAAGCGTTAAGCAGGGGCGAGGCACGTTATCTCCGATGAGCTGAGCTATCCGTATGAACGAAACTGAAGGTCACTCTGGCTCTCTACAGCTGGGCCACACGTTTTCCTGCTGTGTTTCCCGGCCATAACCTCCTGTCTTTCCTGCTTCAGGGTTCCAGCCCCACAGCGATGGTAGGAGCCCTACTCCTGCTTCTAGACCATACCTGCAGCAGCTTCTGAAGGCATTGTCAGCAGAATCTGGGCGCCCCGACCCCAGTGGCTCCAAGGCTAGAGCCCAGCGCATTGTTGCAGGGCCTGGAGAGAGCCCACGTAGCTGGAAGCTCCCTGCGCTGAGAAAGTTGGGTGTGGGGGCCTCTGCAAGGCTGCTTCAGACCCCAGCTTCCTCCCTAAACTCCAGGCCTGGAGCAGACGTTCCTGGTTTGGCTCTAGAGAGGTCCTGGCTGGCCCAAGTGCCCTCTGTACCACTCACTGCTTCTCCAGAAGCAGAAGACCAGCCAGGACCCATCCAGGAGGCTTTGGGGAGCAGCTCTCCCAGGAGTACATGTACCTGAAAGTCCTTTCAGGGGGATGTGCAGAAGTTGAGCCTGTGGCTTATGTCCCCAAGTGCGAAGGCCATCTCCGTCTAGAGTAGCCCCTAGCCCCCTCCGGGCAGTACCCTGTCTTCCAGCCCCAATCTGGCTACCCTGTGTGAGGCCTGGGACTCTCCCTCTGCCCCTTTCTTCTCCATGTGTTCTCCTAAGGGCTTCTAGGGACTAGGGGCTTCTAAGGGACTTCTAGGTTTATCCGGGGAAGGTAGGCCAGTCAAGAGCTGCCTGGTTCTGCCTGCTTTCAACTTCTGCCCTAGTCCCGGAGGCTGCTGGGAAGGGGAGGTGACATTCTCTAGGGCTCCAGGGCCAGGGGTCTGGAAAGGGGGGCAGAGGCAGGCTCCAGCCCTGAAGTCCCCTGGGAATCATTCTGTAGGTGAGTCACAGCCTTCCCAGCATGCTAAGGTACTGCCTCTGTCTCTCCCTTGGGCCAGGACTTGCAGGGGAGCCCATGGCTCGTGGGAGAAGTCTCCCATCCCTGATGTCTGGGTGCTAGGAGTGTTGTCCTGCGGCTGTAACCTGCAGCCCTATTCCCCAGGAGGCTTTCAGCTTGCTCCCCTGCAGTGCAGGAAGGTTCTAGAGGCAGGGATGCCACTCCATGGGGCGACGAGGAAGGGTTGGAGGCACCCTCTAACACTGCACAATGGGGAAACTCAGCAAGAATGTGAGGCCCCTGAACATAGGACTCAAAGCTCCTTCCCAGCCTGCTCTGCTTTCCAAGAACCCTTCCCTTCCACACAGGGACTTGGCCAGAGGAGGTCCTGGAAGGTGTGAAGGGGCTGTAGGGGAGGGGGCTGGTCACCCTGCTTATCTTCCTTCAGCAAAGCCCTATTCCTGGCTCCTGCTTCCTGTGTGAGGGCTGTTCCAGGAATGAATAAGGTCTCCACATGGGCTGACAGGCCAGGAGCACCCCCCCCACCCCCAGAGCTGGAGTGGCACCATACTTATGAACTGTCAGAAGCCCCAGGAAGCCCTGCCTGGAGGGAAGTAGGGGCCTGTGCCCTGGCCCCGTGGGGCCAAGTTCCTCACATGTTTTGGGGGAAGGCAAAAATAAAATTGGGTACTTGCTCCAGGAGCTAGGTACTGGGCTGTGCCTGAGTGCATTTTAACCTTGCCGACTGACCTGGGAGGGGCCCTCAGGTGGTTATACCCACTTTCTTGGGGTGGACAGCGGGGAAGCAGAGGGTCAGCAGCGCAGGGCTGAGGCTTGCTGTGCTTGAGTTTGGGGGAGAGCGTGGCCTTTGTCAGCCTCCTGGGCCGAGCCGGGGTAGGGGGGCATCCTTGCAGGAGCCTGGAGCCTCTGCCCTCAGTCTCTCTTGGGTTTCAGTCTTGAGTTCAAGGGATTTTCTTAGACTGAACAGGGGCCTGGTCTCAGGGATTAGCCTTAGGGAAGGACCGTCGGGTGGGGGAAACGCTGTCTCTCTGCTTGCCCCCCGGACACGAGGGGAGGACTGTCTGAGTTTAAAGTGGGTGACGTGCTCCTCGCAGGGTGACAGCTCCCCTGGGAGATTCCCAAGCAAAGATCGAGAATGTAATGTAGTGCCCCAGCCTATCAGAGAAATGAGTGTGGCCGCCTTAGCATCTCTGGGTCTAAGTAGTGGAGCCAGGCCTCTGGTTCTGGGCTGGGGGTTCTTGGTGGTCACCCTACGTCAGAGCAGGTGAAGTGCTTGGTGACCACGAGGAGGCCCTCCCCGTTCTTAGAGGCTGCCCGTGATGAGCCTCCATTAGGATATGGTTTTCGGTCTCAGAATTTGGGCTCTCCAGAGGGTGGGGCTGGCTGAGCCCGGCGGTTCAAGGGGAAGAGTGTTTTGCCTTCTTCTTTGGGGGTGATCAGGGATGAGGCTGCCCTTGTTCCCCCATGGAGCCACCTATCACTACAGGTCCCCTTTTCCAGGCCTGTTCCACAGGTGCCACCCTGCCCCTGGGGTCCAGCCCCTGGAGCCCTGGCATGAGGGGTGTGCTGTGGCTGGGGCCCTGGGCTGTCACCCTGGTCTGTGGCCTATTCCCCAATCCCCAGGCACATAACTATGTGCGCTCACTCATCAATTTGTTCACTCATTGGACAGAATCGATTGTATTACGTGCCAGGCTGGCTCGGCTATAGGCACCAGGAGTAACACGGTGGGCAAGGCAGGGTTTCTATTCTTGTGGAGGTTATTTGGGGGGTGGGAGAGGGATGGGCCGTGATTAGATAAATAAGGACAGTGATTAAGTAAGATTGGTAAATGATTGGGGGGGGCATTCCTTTAGGTTCGTATTTCAACTGGGACCCAAATGATAGGAGGGACTATCTTATAAAAAAAATCCAAAGAAATAGCCAGTGCAAAGGCCCTAAGGCACGAAGAAGGAAGGTGTGATGGGAGGGGTGAAATGAGGTGGGATGGGAGATGTTGGCAGAGCAAGGTGAGTGAGGGATGGTTTTATTCCAGGAGCAACAGGGAGCAGCCACTGGAGGGTTCTAAGTAGGGGAGGGGCAAGATCCAAGATTTAAAAAAAAATTAAAAAATCACTCTGGATGCTCCGTGGAAAATAGACCGGAAGCAGGAAGAACAGTTGGAAGCCACTAACTACGGTTGTACAAACCAGAGTGATGGGGACTGTGGAAATGGGCAGAAGTGGATGCCTCTGGAGTATGTTTTGGAGGTTGAGGCAACCACACTTGTGACTGACGCAGGCGTGAGGGCCCCACATACAGCACCAAGACCTCAGGAGAGGAGAGAGTGTGTGGGCTGAATGAGCCTGGAGTTCAGGGCTGGAGATGTAGTTTGGGGAGTCCTCAGCCTCTAGGTGGGAGCTGTGGAGCTAGAGGAAACTACCAAGAGGAGTTTGGGGCCAGAAGAAAAGGGACCCCAGGACTGAACGGTGGTGCTGCGACATTTAGGCCAGGGTCTCTCCGTCTCCGTGTTACTAGTGTTTTGTGTCATAGTTGTCGTGGGGGCCGTCCTGTACATTGTAAGATGTTTAGCAGGGCCCTTGGCCACTACCCATGAGATGCCAGTAGCATCCCCTTCCTCTTGTGACAATCGGGAAATCTCTTCAAGTGCCAGATTGCCAAATGTCCCTGGAGGAGAAGGGGCAAAAACCACTCTCCGTGAGGATCGGTGATTGGGAGTTTTGGGGGAGAAGAGGGGGCTGAGAAGGAAGGGGTGACCCGTGAGGAGGGAGTCAGGCCTGCAGTGTTCCCAGGGTGGGCAAGAGTCTGTCGTCTAAAATGTTGCTGAGAAAATTCAGAGGACACACTCGGGCATGAGTCCCGAATGACCCACCAGCAGTAGATTCAGCCGAGGACAGGGTACAGGTGCCCCATGGAGGGTCAAGGAGAGAATGTGAGGGGTTAGAGACCGTGCAGCAAAGAGTTTGAGAAGCCAGCAGCTACAGAGGACATAGAGGGCTTTCCAGGGCAGGGCCTGGCACTGTAGCAGGGGAGGAGTGACCGTGGAGGGTGATAATTGCAGGAGCAGAGTCCTGGGGGATAGGAGAGGGTTCGGGACACACACGCAGGACTTGCCCTCAGAGTAGATGGAGCTCGGATGCAGGCGCTTGTGGGGGTGACTTCCTGCCTAATGGCTTTCATCTTCTAAGTCGGAGGCAAAGTCACAGCTTGGAGGGGGGGAGGGTGTGCGGGGCGAGGAGGAGGAGAGGGATGCGGATTCTGAAGAGTGGGAAAGGTGAGCACACTAGAGAAGTCTGGAGATCTGTGGTCCTGACTTTAAAGCGAGGCCAGTGGATGCAATGAATGTTTTGCACCGGAAAGAGCAGCTGTTCGGGTAAAAGCCGGGGGGGGGGGTGATTTAGGTCTGACCAGGGTTGGGGTTTTGTCGGGTGAGGTGTGATGGAGGAGAGGGTGGTGGCCTTACATTATAGAGGGCGTGGGAAGGTCAAGGGGTTGGGTCACACAGGGTGGGGGTTCGGGGGATTTGAAAGGTTGCGGCTACTGGGGAAAGCTGGGGTGCGAAGCCCAGTTGGGCGTCGTCCCTGCGGAACCCTGGCACAGGAGAATCTGGGGCCGGTGTCCTCTCTCGGACCCGGAGAAGTGGCTCCAGCGCAATCAGCTAAGGTGGCACGTCTCTTGCTGTGCTCTCACAGTTAGGGATGGGACAGCTGTCCCTCTTCTTTGGAAAAGATGGTGCGAGGTCAACTTCCCCCCCCACCCCTGGCCCCTCTTCCCAAGGGCACCCTTCGGGGACGCCTTCATTTGGCCCTACCTTCAGAAAGGCTCCTGTGGAGGTCATCCGTGGATGCCAGGCTGCCACTCCCCCTCATCATTCAGCAATCTTGGCCGGGTACTGGGGACACAGAAGGGATGTGTGCTCCAGCGGACAGTGGGGGAGGGGTGTATGATGCAGCAAACCCATCCACCCCCACCTCAGTACCTCTCTGAGCGTGAAAGCGGTACTGTGTAGCATCAAAGAACTTGAAAAGCAGGGTGTCTCTTTCTCTCTGCGAGGGCAGTGGGTAAAAGGTGAGTGGACCTTGGAGAGTCGGGGAGGGGGGGGTGGTGCCAGCCCCTGGGAAGGACTGGAGATGTGGGAGCTCAGGGCTTGCCCAGGGACCAACAGGTAGCCTGGTGGGGCCGGGAGGGCAGGCCAGTGCCCATCACGGCCTTCCTCTCCCACCACAGGTGGCTGGGTGCTCCTGGCTGGGTCCGGGATTGAGTCCTGCCAGCCCTGGTGGAAGTGGTCAGATCCAGTTGGGGAAGAGCTGAAGGAAAGCCCTGCTAAGGCCCCGAGGCTCTGATTCATGCGGGGCTGGGCAGAGCAGGCAGTACTGGAAGGTGCATGCGGGGGATGTGGAAGCTGCAGAGAAGAGGGGGAATCAAGTCATAGGATGGTCTCCACTGCCCCAAGAGCCAGCTGCACATCTGGGAGGTGGCAGCAGGTGACACCCTGGGGCTGTGTCTCACAGATGCCTGTAGACTCTCCCTGGCTCCCTCCCCCTTCCCCTGCTCCCCGCCCCAGGCTTGTGCCCATTAGGGCGTGATACTTGGTAGATCCAGAGCTGCCCCTTCAGTGAAGACCCAGTGGGGGAGGAAGGAGCAGGGGAGAGAGTCTGAGCAGCCCTGGCTTCAGATCCTTCAGGGTCCTGGCAGCCTCACCTTTCAAGGAAAACTTGGGCCAGGAGACAAAAGGCTGATGCTGATTGCAGTGTTGGGAGATACCCAGTGCCCCCCCCCCCCAGTCTGAGTATGGTTGGAGAGAATGAAAAAGTGGTCCCTCTTAATGTCCCTATGGGCCACCAGAACGCTCAGACTCCTCGGCCCCCTCCGCCCCTGGGACAGGGAGTCTCGGAGACAAGGCAGGAAACTACCTAAGTGGCTGCTTTCCAAGTTCCGGTGCCCACCCCTCAGTCCTCCCTCAGGGAAGGGGCTACCGAGGCTTCTCCATCCCTGGCAACCTCAGGGCCCAGGCCTATCAGCCTAGCCCAGCCGGTGGGAGGGATGTGTCCATAAAAACCTGTCTCTGGAGGAGGTGAGACAGGCTGGCTGCCCTCTCCCACCATCAGGCTGTCGGGCGATCCACCTAAGAGAACAGCTGAGTAGAATGGCAGGAGGCAGGGGCGGACTTGTACGGAGGAACCCCTCCACCCCCTGCCGTGTGAGCCTGGGTAGGGGTGAGATATTGTCTGTGGGCACTGAGCGGTCATTCCCTGGTCCCGTGAAGATGGAACAGTCAGGAAGGGAGGTGCAGTATGCGTGCTGTCTCGAGGCCTGGTCCTCTGGAGGAGGCCCACTTTCAGCAGTGGCTCGATGCTTATTTATACAGAGGATGTCATGCAGAGCTGTGGGCTATAAATATGGGGCCTGGCTCTAGCCTGGGGTTATAGCGTCAGGGGCTCCAGAAGCGGTGAAAAAATGTGCCCTTGAGGCTGCCCAGCCTGACGCTGGTGGCAGCAGCCACAGGGAGAGTGAGTAGGGTGAGGGTGCCAGACGGGGCTCCTTCCACAGCCACTCCAAGAGGGTGTGCAGCAGATATGTGGGGGGTGCAGGAATGGAGGGGGGAGGTGTCAAAACACAAAGGGATGCTTCTCCCTTCATAGCTTCCCCTGACACCCACTTTTTCTCTGAGCTGTGTTAAGAAGACCCCACCCTTGCCTGAGTCTCCATTGCTGCTGCTGAGAGTGGAGTCCAAGCCAGTTTTCCTCTTACCTCTTTGCCCTTAGTGGAGGAAACCGAGGCAGCTGCGGGGAAACAGAAACACTGAAGTCCTAAATCTTGGAGCACTGGCTTGCCCCACCGACCTTGGGAGCCTTTTCCGTACGCCCCCCAGAACGCGGCGAGGACGCGGGTCTCCCGGCTGGCCGCGGACTATCGCCACACGCGGGCGGCGGCAGGGGGCGCTCGCAACCTGCCACGCGCGCCTCCCTGGGCTCCGCAAGCCCGACGGAATCCGCTCCGGGAGAGAGAGCATTTGGGGAAGGGGTTCCGAGGCAGTCTTCCCGCTCCCCCAACTCCTACTCGGCTTCCTTCGCGGGCACCGGGTAGGAGGGGGTGGTTCATTATGTTCCGGTGGCCCCAATCCACCCACCCACCCACCCACCCTCTCCTTGGGGCTCCTGGGCGGCGCGGGGAGAGATCAGCTGGCGCCCACCGTCCTAGATCCTGGTGCTCGGACCCGGTCTGCAGGAAGAGAGGTCCCTCCCGGGTCCCAGCGCCCCGTGCGCACCCATCCTTCCACTTCTGCAAACGTCCTTCCCGGAGTCCCGAAGACCCCAGACGCGGATCTCTGGCCTTCCGTGGCGCGGAGGCCAGGAGGAAAAGGGGTAGGAGCGCCAGGGCGGAGGCCCTCGAGGAGGGCGGGCTGCTGCCGGCCGGTCCTCCCACTAGGCGCACCTTCCACCCATCCGTGGTCCGCCGCCCGCCCCGCCTCCCTCCCCTCCTCCTACTCCCGCCTCCCGTCTCCTCCCTCCTCCGGCGCGCTCGCTCTCCTCCCATTCCCCTGCCGCGGCGGACTGCTTGCAGGCGCGGCTCCCGGCCAGAGCCAGCGAGCGGAACGGGCGCCTCGGCTGCTGCGCCTCCTCCGAGAACCGGTGGCGCGCCCCCCTTCCCCCCGACGCCGGGCCTGCCGGGTCCCGGGTCCCAGCGTGCGTCCAGCAGCTTCGTAGCGGGAGGGCGCAACTTTCCCCCGGTCCCGGGCGGGGCGGGGACGGCAGCGGGACAACTTGGAAAACTTCTCCGGAGAGGACGGCAGGGACGCCGGGTGTCGGTGGAAGAGGATGTAGGAGGGCGGTGGCTGGCCCCAGGCATCCCTCCGTCTCCTTGGCCGGGTTCGGCCTGGCCATGGGGCTCCAGCGCCTTGTGCGCCGCCAGGGGGTTGATCCCCCCTTCTAGACTAGCTGCGTAGGACAGTACCGTCTCCGGCTGAGCACGCTCTGGGCGAGCAGCGACCCCTCTGGCCGCGTCCCGCCCCGTCATGGACCACCAGGAGCCCTACTCGGTGCAGGCCACCGCGGCCATCGCGGCGGTCATCACGTTCCTCATCCTTTTCACCATCTTTGGCAACGCGCTGGTCATCTTGGCTGTGTTGACGAGTCGCTCGCTGCGCGCCCCGCAGAACCTGTTCCTAGTGTCGCTGGCCGCCGCCGACATCCTGGTGGCCACGCTCATCATCCCTTTCTCGCTGGCCAACGAGCTGCTGGGCTACTGGTACTTCCGGCGCACGTGGTGTGAGGTGTACTTGGCGCTCGACGTGCTCTTCTGTACCTCGTCCATCGTGCACCTGTGCGCCATCAGCCTGGACAGGTACTGGGCCGTGAGTCGGGCGCTGGAGTACAACTCCAAGCGCACCCCACGCCGCATCAAGTGCATCATCCTCACCGTGTGGCTCATCGCAGCTGTCATCTCCCTGCCGCCGCTTATCTACAAGGGCGACCAGGGGCCCCAGCCTCGTGGGCGCCCGCAGTGCAAACTTAACCAAGAGGCCTGGTACATCCTGGCCTCTAGCATCGGATCTTTCTTTGCACCCTGCCTCATCATGATCCTGGTCTACCTGCGCATCTACCTGATCGCCAAGCGCAGCCACCGCAGAGGTCCCAGGGCCAAGGGCCGCCCTAGGGAGGGTGAGTCTAAGCAGTCCCGCCCCGTCCCTACTGGAACTTCAACCAAAATGCCAACCCTGGCCTCTCTGGCTGCTTCTGGAGAGGCCAATGGTCACTCCAAGCCCACTGGGGAGAAGGAGGAGGGGGAGACCCCTGAAGATCCTGCGACCCCTGCCTTGCCACCCAGCTGGTCGGCCCTTCCCAACTCAGGCCAGGGTCGGAAGGAAGGTGTTTGTGGGGCATCTCCAGAGGAAGAAGCTGAGGAGGAGGAGGAAGAGTGTGAGCCTCAGGCCTTGCCAGCATCTCCTGCCTCCGTCTGTAGCCCACCCCTGCAGCAGCCACAGGGGTCCCGGGTGCTGGCAACACTACGTGGCCAGGTGCTCCTGGGCAGGGGCGTGGGCACCTCGAGCGGGCAGTGGTGGCGGCGGCGGGCGCAGCTGACTCGGGAGAAGCGGTTCACCTTTGTGCTGGCCGTGGTCATCGGCGTTTTTGTGCTCTGCTGGTTCCCCTTCTTCTTCAGCTACAGCCTGGGTGCCATCTGCCCACAGCACTGCAAGGTGCCCCATGGCCTCTTCCAGTTCTTCTTCTGGATCGGCTACTGCAACAGCTCGCTGAACCCCGTCATCTACACCATCTTTAACCAGGACTTTCGCCGTGCCTTCCGAAGGATCCTTTGCCGCCAGTGGACCCAGACGGCATGGTGAGCCACCTGCCCGCCACCCGTGTGGGGTTGGTGCCAGGCGGCACCAGGGCCACTCTGATTCTTGCCCTATTTTATGTGGCCACCTCCCTGGGGCTTTCTGGTCCCTGCCTGGGTCCTGCAGGCTTCATCTTGGGAGCCCCCTGGGAGGGGCTGGGGCCGGGGTGCTGTTCACAGGGGTCCAGCTGAGGCCTCCGATTGCTGGCTTGGCTGTGGGGGGACATCTTCTCTACCCCCGTGAACACAGGCCCACGGATGAGGCTTGGACCTTCCTGAACATAGCCAAGGCTGGGCCAGATAGAGCACTTCTCTCCCAATGCCCCAGACCCCTGCAAGCCCATGGGTGGGCTTTCCTTCCTTAAGGACCCTTTGTTCCCTGGCTGGTCACTTGCTTGTGGCGTTTTTGTTTCTCATCTTCCCCGGGTAAAGAGCAGGAAGCCAGCCTTCCCCTTTTCCCAGGAGGACCCGCTGCTGAGGAGGAAGAGGCAGAAACGAGGGATCCACGTTGGGCGCCCATGGTCCCCATCAGGCACTGGGTGGGGAGTTAACGGCCTGGCCCTGTTTCTGGTCCTTCTTCCCTCTCCCCCTACCTTTAGATTTGTAGCTCCTGTAAAGGCCAGAACCTTCTCTGGAATTGTTTTCCTTACCTGGCACCCCTCTGGCAGGCGGGTGTGTGCCAGCAGAGGCCTCGCCTTGGTGGGGTGGTCTGGAGGTCCGGCCTCTGCCTCGACGGGAGATCCCTGATCACTAGCATTCACCCCCTGCAAAAACCTGGCGACAATGGCTTGCCGCCTACTTGCTGCAGGGAGATGAAAGGCTTTGCGGAAAGCTTTGAGCTCCGTGGGGGAACGCACTAGAGAACCAGAAAATATGATTATTTGGAGATCTAAAAATCCCCTTTCTCTGTCTTTACCACCACCTGTCTTCCTGTAGACTTTTTGTTCTGCGCCTGGGGTGCGGGAATTCTTACCCCAAACTGGAAGTGGGGAATGGTAGAGAGAACCAACTACTTCACTTAAAGGATTTCTTCCAGAACACGTTCTTGTGCCTGCAAGGGTTTAGTTGTTATGCTGCATGACAGCTCCTCGACATTTCACCCGCGACACCGAGAGGGTTTTTGGTGGCCTGGCCCCCCCCCCCCCCCAACGGGGGACAAGTCTTTTGTCATCAAGCAGGCAAATTGTTTCCCCAAGATGGCCAAAAATACCCACCCCATCAGAACAATCTGAGATGAGAGTCTGTGGTGGGTGACAGGGCCCCCAGGCAGGCGCTGGGGCTGGAACGGGTGAGTGAGGGCCCTGTGGACTCCTTCAGGAGCCTTCCACCAGAGCGCCCAGGCGGTTCTCCAAGCCCCACGTGGGTCCCTGTGATGTGTAACTGATCCTACCTTGGGTGGGGGCCGGCTGGCCATCTCTGACCCAGCCATGTTGCTTCACCCCACTGATGAGGCTCCAGGGGCCTCTCCTCTCCTGGTTCTCTCCCCAACCCCAGGACCTAGCACCCAGAAGACTTGGGAGCGTTGGAAGGATGTTTTCCAGTCTTCTCCAAGGAGCTCCTGGCTTCAGCATTAAGCCAGCGGGCATCTAGCATGGGGGGTAGGGCTGAGCAGCCAAGGCACTGTTGGCACTCTGAGGGGCCCGGCTGGATTTGGAGAGCTTTCTGGGGTGGAGAGAATGGAGGAGACCAAAGAGAGTCCTTTCTGGGGAGAGGGGCTGTCTAGCTCCTTCTTACAGTCTCATTGTGAGGCCAGGGCATTGCCTTGGGGTGAGGCTGGGGAGGCTGGGCCCAGGGGAGTGGCTGACTTGTGACATCTGCTGACTGGTCTTGCGTGTGTCCCGGGAGACTCCTGCAATTATTGCCTGTGGCCCCCTTGTTGTGATATGCAGGTATTTTTTTTTTAAGTCTGAGCTATTTTATCAATAAAGGATATTTTGTAATAAGCAAGCTGTGTCCTTGTTGCCCAAGGGCTGCCAGGAGTAATTATTTCTCAGCTACTTGAATAGCATCTGTAAGCACGGGCTCCCTCCCAGGGCCAGTTGCCTTTTCCTCCCCTAGGTACCTGGTACCTATCCACCTGCCTGTCTGCTTTGTCCATCCCGCGTCCCTTATCATTGCCAGTCAGTGGGACGAGAGTGGCCAGAGAAGCCTGAGACTGGCTGCCTGGCAAGGGAAGAAAAGGAGGGCTTCCCGGAGGAGGGGGCCTTGGGGCTGGGTCTTGGGGGAAGAGCAAGGGTACACCAAGAAACAAAACAGGAAAGGTGTTTCGGGCAGAGGACAGCACGCACCAAGGGTGCGTTTGGGGGATTTGTGACAGTTTGAGAGTCAGTCTAAAGCCAGCCCCGCCTCGCGGTCAGGTGCAGCAGCTGGGGGCCAGAGGAGGTAGTTGGACAGCACCCACGGGGGGCGGGAGGAACACGGGGAGGAAGGCAGGACGGTCACTCTGCAGAATGTTTTCAGCTGCTGTCTTCGGCGAGGGCAAGAGTGGAATAGAACCGCTCTGCTCCAGGCTCTTTGACGCTAAGATTCAGTTACGAATATCAGAGCTGGAGGACCTGTGGACGTCACTCCTATCAATCTCATTTCCCAGAGGAGGCCTCTGAGGCCCCAGAGCCACCATGTGAGTTGGGTAAGGAGTTGAGTCGGGGATCCCATCCCACCTCTGTGAGGGCAGCCTCTGGGGCCCGTATCAGGTTGGCCCGGTTCTGAGGGCCAGGGAGGCCAGCAGGCTGGGGGCAGGGGCAGGACCCAGGGAGGCGCGAGGGCTGGGAGGGAAGGGCAGAGGGAGGAGCAGTGAGGCCCCAGGGTCTGGTGGTGGGTGGCCATCTCCCATAAACAAGGATTCACACTTTCCTGGGGCCATGGCTTCCGCCATGGGCAACGGATGGAGACTCCTACGTATCTACCATCACTGGTGAACGTGGGGGAGGGACAGTGGGCTTCATCGAGGACTTGGTAAGAAAGCCACACTCGGTGGGGCGCCTGGGTGGCTCAGTCGGTTAAGCGTCGACTTCGGCTCAGGTCATGATCTCGCGGTTTGTGGGTTTGAGCCCCGCGTCGGGCTCTGTGCGGACAGCTCAGAGCCTGGAGCCTGCTTCCGATTCTGTGTCTCCCTCTCTCTCTGCCCCTCCCCTGCTCATGCTCTGTCTCTCAATAATAAATAAACATTAAAAATAAAAAAAAAATAAATAAATAAATAAACAAACAAACAAGCCACACTCGCCCGGGAGGAGCTCCCAGCAATTCCTACCCGTCTGCGTTTCCAGCGCCAAAGCCGGGAGGCTTGATGGGGTTAGATTCAAGAAGTTCATTTGTTTCCATTGACCGAGCCAATTAGTCTTCTGGCACTTCGTCCGATTACCTTGTTTAATCCTTATGCCCACTGCGTAAAAGAAGGATCTGCCCATTTTACTCAGGGGAAACAGAGGCTCAGAAAGCTGTGACGGCTTGACAGAGGTCACCAGTTGCAAGCTCTTTCCACTGGGCCACACTGTTTTACCTGAGGGTCTGTGGGAGGCAGGCCCCTGTGGCTGGGGGAAGAGCTCCCTGCCCAGTCTCTGGCGCTGGTGGCAGAAAATGAGCCCTTCTGGAGCTGGACTTTTGGCAGTCCAGTTTGAACACGTTATCTTAATTCTCCCAACCTTGCTGGGTGTGGCCGTTTTTACCAAGGAGGAAACTGAGGCCCCAGGTCACCCGGCTGGGCCCCCCGAACCACAAAGCGTTAAAATGCAGGTGCGGAAGAGTTGTGGTTCCAGCTCTCTCTCGGTGGCGCTGCCGTTCGGGGATTCCGCAACTGCACCTGGCTGGAATCGGCAGGCGGCCGTGCTGCGATGGGCCGCTCGTGCCTGTCACTGCTGCGGACTATGTGAGTGATGGTATGTGTTTCACAGGTTTTCCATTCCTGACAGCTCAGTCTAAACCCCGAATTTTAGTAAAGAAATGACTGAGGCCCAGGGAGCGATGGCTTGCCTTGGACCCCCACCCCCACAGCCACGTGGCGGCAGACGTGGCTGCCCTGTCACCGTGCCTGCCGTTCCAAGCCTTCATACTGAAGGGATAGCATCTAGACTCAAGGAATGACAGCACGGGTTCAGGAAACGTCCCCTGACAGCCGGCTGCGTGCCAGGGCCAGGGCTAGGCTCATCCCCGTTGTGCTACTTTATGCAGTTCTCAGATCCTCAGAGTCTGAGGATCAGAGTCCTGGGTCGCACAGTTAACAGGTGGTGCAGCTGGAGCTCAATCCCAGGACCCCCGGCTCCCAGGCTGCCTTCTCCTCCTCTTACCGCCGCCCCCCCCCCATTCCTGCTGTTCTGTGTGAACAGCACTTACGTTTGATTTCACCCTGAGCCCATCTGAGGGTTAGTTTGTTGAGGAGGTGGGCTCAGAGCAGCAGAGATGGGGGGGGGGCGGTATAGCATGCCTCCGCCCAGGAATAATCCCCCAAACACCTTGGAGGTGAGGGTGGGGGGACAGAAGGCAGCAGGGAGGCTTGGCAGTTCACCAGGTGGATGTGAGCTGTCTCGCCAGGGCGCGTCTACCTTCTGCGGACCTTTCTAGCTTCTGTCTTAGGACGACCTTGACAAAGGGAGGGACCAACCGAGAAGGCCGTTAAAGAAGCGGCGGAAGACATCTCCCCTCCAGTTTCACTCAGCGTGTAAGAATCTGGGTCCCTGGATCGCAGGGGATACCCTTGAAAGGGAGTTCAATCTCAGCCTCTGCCTTGGGCCAGCTGCTGAGAAATTCAGGGCCGCTGGAAATTCCTCTTTGGAACATTGCTGCGGGAGGGACACCCCCAATCCGCCTGCTCAAAAGGCACCTGTGCCCCTAGGGCCGACTGACCTGCCTCCAAGGCTCAAGGTGGAGCTCAAGGGAGAGGGAGTTTGTGAGGTCATTAGGCCCCTGCAACTCCCATCCTCCGCGTGACCTCCCTTTTCTGTGTGTGGGGGGCGGTGCCGAGAACGGGATGTGAGACTTCAGCTACCGCCTGCAGACGGGGTTGCTGCTGGCTGGGCCCGAAGAGCCCTCTGTCCAGGTGAAGCTGGTACTCGGCGATCTTCTGCTTCCCCGCTGCTGGCCAGGCGTTCTGCCTGGAGGGCCTGGTCGCTGTGCGCGGCAGGGCTGGTGTGGGACTTCGTGCCCGTGAAAATTGCACTGGGTGGGGGGGTGCTGGGGAGGCCGGGGTCATGCTCTGCCTTTGTCTGCCTTCGTCTGCATTTGTAGGGCTGCCCAAGCAGGGCTTGGTTCTTCTTGGGGCTTCAGTGTCCCTGCCTGCCCACGAGGGGTTGACTCCATGGTCAACCATGGGTTGACCTAGCTTGAGGCTCCATCTCTGCCCTGCCCCCAGCTTTCTGGAAAACCCACATCCCGAGGGTGGGGAAGCAGGCCTCGGGCCTTCCCAGGGCAGAGCCCCTGCCTGCCCTGTGCTGGCTGGAGGATCTCCCCCCAGCAGAGACCTCACGGCTTTGTGGGGGGTGATCTCCCTGCCTGCGGGTACCTCCGTGAGAGCCGGAGCTGGGCAGGGGTGGGAAGCTCTGCTCACGGTTGTTAGCAGGAGAGGCGGGAGCACTCAGCTAAAATTAGATTCTGGGATTCTTCGTGCTCCTGCATCCGTCCGTCCTTCCATCCGGCGTGGGGACGGCTGTTGTCAGCACGCCAGGGCTGGAAGGAGCCTGGATGTCAGCTTGCACCCTCCCCAGGGCTTGCCGGCTCTGATCTTCTCACACCCTCGCCTGGCCTTTGGCCAAAGGCTCCTGCCCTTGGCGTGGCCTTGTGGCCATCTATCGATTAGCAGTGATTTAAAAGGAAGAGTGCCCTCCCCCCTTAATACCCACTCCCTCCCCCTGGGATTTTACCCCCCCTTCCTTCCTCTCTCCCCTCCTCTCCTGGCCCTTCCCACTTCCGGGTCCTCAGAGGCTTCTCCCCCTTCCCTGAGTGTCCCCTCTGCCTCCTGCTGAACCTCTGACTTCTGCCTCCCCCTTGGGGACGGTCCTGGCTCTTCATGGGACCTGCAGGCTCCATGGACCATTGTGGTTGCAAGGGGACCAGAACATACTAGAGACTAAAAAAGAGCCTCCCTCCCTGGCAGTTTGGGGCTATTTCTGGCCCCGCTGTAGCCCTCTGGGGTCCCTGGCGCTCTGGTGGCTGGGGGGGGAGGTGCTGGGCCCCAGCCCCAGGATGCAATGGTCTTAATCTTTGATTTCCCTGGGGAGGGGGCAGGCCCCTTCTGGAGCTGGGGGTGGGCCCTCCAACCTGAGGGCAGCCAAGGATCAGATGGAATGCCACTACCTCTGCTCCCGTGGGGGCCTGGGCTGCTTTAGGAGGGAAGAGGGCTGGACCATGGTAGTGTGGGTGGCAGTGTGGAGTCCCGGTGTCCCTGTCATCCCCATTCCCACCGCAGGCTGGCTGCAGCTGGGAGACAGGGAGCGTGGGAGGCTGTCTGAGCCTGCTGCTGGGGTCCCTGGACACTGAAGTGGGGGGGGGGGCAAGGGTTAAATCCAGCCCTCCCTCCCAGGCTCCACTAGGTCCCCGGTGCTCTTGGTCAGGTGCCGCTGTGACACTACTGTCCTGGCTACAAATTTGGACAGGCTATGGCCTCTCCATCCCATGCTGGCCTGGCAGCTGGAGTTATGGTGGGTGCAAGACTGGTGACTGCCGGAAGGATTCCCTCAGCTGTTTCCGGAGCACTGGCCAGGGTCCAGCGGCTTGGGTCATGGTCCCAGTAGGGCCATCAAATTGCTCGGTGACCTTGGGCAAATCCCTTCCCTTCTCTGGGCTTCAAATTCCTCGTTGTCAGGTAAAGGAGTCGGTCGGATTGGAGCATGTTCAAGTCATGTCCTGGGTTCTGCCCTAAGAACCGTGGAGCAGGGGCAGGGAGAGAAAGGGGCCCAGTCAGTGGCTTCCTGTCCCCACTTCACCCCTGCTTTTTTCTACCTATCCATTTTTAGGAAGCAACTCCCCCTTCCCGCCCACCAGGCTTCCTCCTCTGGGGGCCCCTATGACCTCCATCCCCTTCCTACCCCAGGCTCACGTAACACACGTCAGCCACCTCCTTTGCAGGGAGGTCCCAGCAAAATCTCACCGGCGTGAACTTCAGAAGGGCCGCCTCGGAAGACATTCCTCCATGGCAGGCTGGGGGCTGGTGGCATGGGGGTGGACACGTGCCTGTGGTGTGGCAGAGGCCAGCCCTTGTTTTATGTTGGGTCTAAAGAAAGGCAGGGAGGGGCACCTGGGTGGCTCAGTCGGTTGAGTGTCTGACTTCGGCTCAGGTCATGGTCTCACCATTCAGTTCATGGGATTGAGCCCCGGGTTGGGCTCTGTGCCGACAGCGTGGAGGCTGCTTGGGATTCTCTCTCTCTCTCCCTCTCTCTCTCTCTCTCTCTCTCTCTCTGTGTCTCTGTCTCTGCCCCTCCCCCAGTTCTCCCTTTCTCTCCAAAATAAATAAACATTAAAAAAAAGGTGGGGAAGGGGAAGGGACGTGGGTGAGGTCCCCTGGGAGAAGGGCTCCTGGAGAAACCATGCTGCCATAGGGTCAGGACCAGAATGACACAGAGAGAGGAAGCCCACGTTAACCCCAGCTGCGGTGCGTGTGCCTTCCGCCTTCGGACGACGGAAGCTGAGGGCAGAGGGGGTGCCTGTGCTCCCCTCACAGCCCGGCACAGAGCGCACCAGGCAACATTGCTGCTTGCGTGCGTTTTCCCAGGAAACTGGGGCAGCGTTGGCCTTAGTCACCTAAGGCTGGGGCCCCTGTGCTCTGGGAATGAATCTCTGATGTGGGGGCTTAATCGTTCTGTTTTGTTTTGTTTTCCAGAGTTTCCTAGAGAAATTCTGTTGGAAGGTTCGATGCTGGTCTTGGCTGAGCTAGGCGCGGGAGAACTGTCCTGTGGTGCGGGCGAAGCACCAGGACATCCCAGGAGGTGGTGGCAGGGACCTGTCCAGGAGTGTGGGAGCCTAGACGCGGCCGGTCAGAGAGAGGACAGGTAGAGAGAGCACACCGGTTGGATCATCCCACTGGCAGCGTGAAAAGGGTACTGACTTTGTCGTCAAACCTGGCTTTGTTGCCTGTGGGCCACGTGGCCTCAGGCAAACCGCCAAACCTCTCTGAGCCTCAGTTTCCCCCCATTTCAAGTGGTAGGTTAACTACATTAGGATTGGAGAGGTGTGCTGAGAGGTAGACATGTGTAGAAAAGGTCCTGAAAGAGTGCCGGGGAGTGGCAGGGCCAGTCTGATTATTCCTCTCAAAGTCCAGGTCCTTTTCAAGGTAAGCTAGTAGAACCCCTGGTCCCCGGTGCCCCCTGAGTCACCGCTCAGCAGCCTGATGGAAGGAGGGTGGGCTCTGTGCCCTGGAAGATGGCCCCCTCTGGCATAGGGAGTCTGCTCTTTCCACCTTCCCTCACCCCTTCCTTCCCTGGGCTCCAAAAGCCTCTCCCACCAAGAGCTTCTGCCAAGCTCTTTCCAGGGTATAGCTGGGAAGGGAAGGTTCTCAGGTGAATGTGTTAAATGTAGCATGTGTATACCTACCCCTCTACTGCTGTGTGCATGGCAGACGTCAGCTTTGGAACCCAGAACTCCCTATGCACTGAGACAAGCCCACAGGCAGTGCCAGCCCGGCATCCTCCAACAGCAGCAGCTGCTGTGCAAGATGAAACCCATTTGCCCCTCAGGGTGGGGAGAACCCTTGTTCTGGGCAGGCGTGGGGGAAAGGGCTGCCCGGCCTGATGGCAGGGGAGCCATTGAGGGCGGGAAGGAGGGCCGTTTCTGGAGACCTCTAGGATTTCTGCAGCCGCCACAGCAGCAGGACCCAGGGGTTGAACGTCCGGGCCCTGGAGAACCCCAGAGACTGAGAAGATTGCACAGTTGCCAGCAGAGGGAATGGGGCCAGGCAACATGGCAGAGGTTGGGTGAAAGTGGGGGCTTCTTGGGCCAGCACACCTTGGCCTAGGCCAGAGATGGTCAGGAAGAGTGGGAAAGGGGTGCAGGGGCACTAGGAGGTCTTATTCTCTCGAGAGTGTGTAAAGGAAGGCAAGGATGGTTCAAGAGTCACCCAGCCCACGCAGTTGAATGGCCTATTCTGCTGCTTGTGAGTTCAATCACCTGGTTGGAGCGGATGGTGTTGCTCCCTGTGTTCCAGACTTTGGGCCCGATTTCCTCCACCTGCAGAGCACGAGGTCACCCTGCAGCCCCCATCCCCCAGTGTGCATCCGTGTGGCCGTGTGCTGAGCCTTCCCCGGCCCCTCCTAACATGTATCCCGTTTTCCCGCTGGAAGTTTCCTCAGCACTTATGACCAGCTAGCATCCTGGATATTTCACTTACCTGTCTGCTCCTTGTCATTGTCCCCTACTGGAATGTAAGCTCCCTGTGGGCTGCGATGGTTAACTCTCCTGTCTGCCGTGGATCCTAGGCCTGACTGTGCCCGACAAACAGTGAAAATGTAAGGACTGGCCTGGTTGGCCAGTTGCCCTTAACGCAGTCTGCAGGGTTATTAAAATATCCTTGGAAATGTGGTGAGGGGAAGAAAACCATATTTATGAGAATTCCTTCCAGGGAGGGAGGAAGAGTGGGCAGGAGGGTGGGAGGTGAGAGCCTCAAGGGATGGCCTCAAACAGTAACGGGTGTTGGTTGTTGGCTGAGCCACTTTTGGGGGCCGGGGGGGGGGGCCGTGAGTCCCCCCACAGCATAGCTTTGGTTTGGCTGGGTGGACTGAACAAGTCTGGGGCCCGGGGGGAACTTCTGGGGCCTGTGGAGGTGGGTAGAGGCTGCCCCCAGTGATGCCCTCCACCCCCCATCCTCTGCCCTATGCCCATCTTGGCTGTAGTCACAGGCTGGACAGCTGGTCCAGGATGAGTAATTTCGAGGACCTGTGTCTAAGAGAGAGACAACACCACACTGCACCCTAGGGGTGAGGTGGGGGGCTCCTGGGGGGACCCAGTGGGCAAGGAAGAGGCCCCCGGCACCAAGGTTACAGAGCACAGAGGGAGGCAGTACAGAATAGGACACTCAGTATTCTAGGAGGGAAGGCGGGGCGGGGGACCTTGGTGAGGGCAGGAAGCCAGGAAGGAGGCCTGCGGGAGGGCTGCGCTCTGCTGAGGACTGATGGCTGGCGTCTCAGGCAGGAGGGGGACGGAAGGGGGAACAGGGGGGCAGAATACTGTCCCCGCTATGGCTTGGGTGTGGGTTTGCTCACGATCTGAGGTGCCTTCTGGCCCTAGGATGCACCCCAGGGGCAGGGGACAGGGCGGGGTGAGGCCCAGGGCCAGCAGCCCTGCTCCAGAGGCAGCTGACTAAAAATAAGTCGGGATGTCAGGGTCTCCTGGCTCCAGGAAGTGGGGAAGAATGATGAGTGTCAGGAGGAGGAGGAGGCAAAGGGGAGGAGACAGTCACAGCTGAAGGCGGCCAACAAACTTGTTTGTTTATTTTCTTCTCTCTGGCCTGAAGTCTCTCAGCTGGCTGCTCCCTGGGTTTGGGTGAGGGGCACTGGCCTCCATGGACCTGCGGGCCTCCCCAGACTCCTGGCTACATGCGGAGGACCCCGTTTCCCATGCATTCCTTTGAGTGCATCAAACCCTGTGCATCCAATTTCATTTCTACCCTTTCATTCTGCAGATGCAGAAACCAGGCCCAGGTAGCTTAGGCTCTTGTCTCAGTCACTTGGGTGGCTTTGCCTGGAGCCACAGCCGAGCCCAGGTCTCCTTGCGGCGGGGTGGGGTGGGGGGAGGGCTTCTGCAGGGGGCTTCAGCCCAGATAGGGCACCAACACCCACACGGCTCTTAGAATGAGGGGTGATGTGAGGGTCTGCGATGAAAAAGGCCGCTCTGCAGGTGTGGTAACAGGCCTGTGGGTATGACACCAGCCGCCCCACAATTCTTTAGGGTTTACACGGCCCCCACCTTAGCCCCCCTGCCAGGCTTGCTGACACCTTGGGGGCATGGCGTGTCTTCCCCTCCACCCTGCGCTCCGGGGGCTGGGAGGGCTTTTCAGATGCCAGGGTAAATGTGGAGGGCCCTCTCCCCTCCTTCCTCTCCTCACGCCAAAGAGCCCCTGTTGCGGCGAACCCTGACCACCCGGAGGTCATGGTCCCCTTGGCTGTCCTTGAGCCTCCGTGCCGGGCCACTCTTGCTCTGCCGAATGCCTGTTGCTTCACTTGTGCCCCTGTGGTCACGGTCGGGCTGGGCAGCGTGAGAGGGCAGCGAGGTCCTCAGGAGGGGGCTAGGCTCAGGTCCTGTGCCACCTGAGGCTGCAGGGACAGGCCTGCATCCCAGGGCTGTGGGAAAGGGCCCAGGGTTGCCAAGCAGCTTGCAGGAGGGACCCCTGTGCAAGGCTGTCAGCCCCCTTTATTCCCTCGCCTTCATTTCTCCTCCTCCTCTTCTTCCTTTGTTTCTCCAGGTCTGTTCATACATTCTCTAGAAGGGCTCAGAATCCTCAGTCTTGCCTCACCGACCACAGCTCCATCCCGTGAGCGCCCCCCTTCCCCTCTCTCACTCACATGCACGTGCAAGCACGCCCTCCTTCCCCCTCAACAGCCCCACTCCCTGGTGGCAGGCAGCCCAGAGCCTCTGGAAGCCCGGAGCCCCTTGGCCCTCTCCCCTCCCAGCTGGGTCATGCTCCAGTCCTGGCTAGCCTTTCTAGATTCTGGGGGTTATTTTAGGGAAGCCCTGATCTGGGTCTCATCCTTGAGGAGGCTCCCTTGGGATGGGCCTGGGGGTGTTAAGAGGGCCCCTGCTGTCACCCTGCCGCCAGCCAGGGAGGGCTCTGGGCCCACCGCATGGAGCCCTGAAGGCATGTGAAAGGCCAGAGCCTCATCCTCCCAGAGACTGGGATCACTAACAAACATGCCCTCCTGCCGAGGCCAAGCATGCGCTTCCTGCTGCCCTACGATTGCCTGGCTAGGGCCAGGCCACTCCCTCCCCTGCTCTGGGAGCTGGGATGTCCCACCCCCCCCTCAGCCTGGTAGCCCTGAGGTAGACATCTGTCTGGAGGCTCTCTGGACGTGAGGCTAATGGCCCAGAGGACGCGAACAGAAAGTGCAGCTGTGGACATCACGGCTTCCTGGTGGGGGCTGCTGTGGGCCGCAGGGAGCCTCCTGGGAGCCTTGGCCTCTGAGCTTCCCCAAGCCCCCAGGCTCAGGAGCACGACACACAGAGCCCAGGCCCTGCACTCACGGCGCAAGCTCGCTCCCGAAATTCTCGCAATCCTGGGGTATCCAGCTTGATCAGGCCTGGAGCAGCCCCAGAGCGAATAGCTGCTCGTTAACAGGGCATCTGTTCCCGACCAAAAGGGGTTCTTGGGCAAGTCCCTTCTCTGTGAGCCTGTGTTCTCAGCTACAAGACAGAAGGATCTCAAGACAAAACGGAATGTCTGTAGAGAGCATTTTCTGAACATTTTCTGAAATGCCCCCTCCCCGTCTCGCCCACAAACGCTGTCTCTGACCCTTTCCGGCAGATGCCGGAGGGTGAGATGCTCTGGAATAGCCTGTCTCTAGGCCGACCTAGGACCGGCCTTGGTCCCAGGAATCATCTGGGGAGCGGCTGCGCGGAGGAGCAACGCTGCATTCCGATCCTGGCTTATTTGCTATGTGACCTCATAAAAGTTTCTCAACTTGTCCGAGTCTTGTATTGTCATCTGCAATATAGCGTCCCTGCTGTACCTCACCCAGAGGGTCGTGGGGAAAGTTACGTTGAAATGCTTGTCACAGAGACGGTGCCTGTGTTTGCCGGGAGGACTAGGTAACCTGGGGACGTGGGTGTCGTTCAGAAGGTCAGCTCCGGGGCAGACTTTTGGACTGGAAAGTTCCCGGCTAGGCCGAGAGGTAAGGGTGTGGGCTGGGGCAGGGGCAGATGGGGGCCCAGGCTGCCTCCAAGACCACCCCCTCCCTCTCTGGGCTGCTGCACCAGCTAGGACTGCTACCTCTTCTCTGTTATTCACCAGTAATTACCCTAAATGCTACATCTGTTGTCATGACAACATATTACCCATCCTTAGGTAAAAGCCCTATTTGCAGGGGAGTCAGGCTCTCTCCAGCTCCCTGGGCTCCATCATCGTCCCTGCAGCCCCCCCCCCCCCCCCCCCCCCCCCCCCCCCGCAACCCACCCACCTCAGGGTTCCCCAGCTGTCCCCCTCTCTCCCTCCCTCCCATTTTGTCCTTTCAGAGAGGTCACTCCTGTTTTCAAAATTTCCAGAATTTTCCTGTTACTTTTGTTTTTGGTCTCACTTTGTGACTGTGGGTCTCATCTCTCCTTCCTCCTCCCCTTGTCTTTCCTTTTCCCGGATCCTGAGATTCTTTCTTGGTTTCTGTCTGTCTCCCTCTCTCTGCTTGTCTGTGTGTCTCTCTCCCTCCTTCTCCTCCCCACCCTTGAGTGCAGCAGGGATAGCATGAAGGGGGGGGGACAGGGGGCCTGCTGGATGGGTCTGCAGGGGCCTTGGGAAGCCTATGGGGCTGTGTGGCCTGGGCATAGGTGAGCCCAGGTTAGGCATGCCCCAAGAACCCCCCCAGCCTATAAGGTGTGTGGCCAGAAGGCTTCCAGCTACTTCTGGAAAAGTGTGGGCCAAAGGGGCTGCCCTTACTCCTCCCTGACCTCCACCAACCCCTGCCTTTGGACTGTCCCTCTCTGGAACCCCAGTTCAAATGCTCTCCTGACTGGGGACTTGCACACTTACTGAGTGCCCCCTACACGCTCAGCACCATTGGAAGAATGTCTGTATAAGAAACCTTGCAACAGCTCCAGGAGGTAAGTGGTACTATTGTGTTGTACAGGCCGGGAAGTGAAAGATCAGAGGAGTCAAGGAAGTTGCTCAAGGCCGCACAGCCGGCCAATGGAGGAGGCTAGACTTGAAATTCCTTTCCATAGCAGTGCTCTTCACCATGGTGCTCCAGTAACACTATTTATGTTCACTACATGTCAGGTGCTGTGCATTTAGTAACATGTGGAACACATTTAGCCCTCACGGCAACCCTGTAAGTTGGGACCGTGAATGTCTATTTTACCAATGAGGGAATCAGGGCACAGAGAGGCTAAGTAACTTTCTCAAGGTCACTCTATAGTCAGAGGTGTGCCGGCACTTGAACCCAGGTCTTTGTGCCGAGCCTGGGCTCTTAACCCCGAGTGCTGTTGCTACCCCCTTCCTCTCCTAGGGGGAGGGGGCCGCAGAGGAGCAGGACAAGGACATGGGCTTCACATGCATACAAGTCCCTCCTCTCCCCCTCCCCCTGAGCCCCTGTAAAGTTCCCTCCAGGCCCAGCCAGGGATGCTTTGGGGAAGCAGAGGAGGAAGCCGTGTAGGAAGAGGCAGCACCCTCTTTTTTGCTGGGTTCCATGCAAGGGCAGGAGGGAGTTCTAGATGACCAGGAGAGGCCCACAAATCCTATAGGTCCCGTGGGCCTCCCAGGTGACCACAGCACCCCACAGGCACCCCCGGGGCTCTCCCCACTGGACCCAATACCCCAGGACCTTGAGGCGCAGGAAGACTGATGTGGCCGGGAGCCTGAATCAGGCCTGTGAGGCGCCGGCGTCTGCACGCTCTCCTGG